ATGAACGGGGGAGGGGCAGAGAGAGAGGGAGACACAGAATCGGAAACAGGCTCCAGGCTCTGAGCCATCAGCCCAGAGCCCGACGCGGGGCTCGAACTCATGGAGCGCGAGATCGTGACCTGGCTGAAGTCAGACGCTTAACCGACTGCGCCACTCAGGCGCCCCTGAAGATTTTTTTTAATGTTCATTTTATTTTTGAGAGAGAGAGCAACTGCAAGCAGGGGAGGGGCAGAGGGAGGGAGACACAGAATCCAAAGCAGGCTCCAGGCTCTGAGCTGTCAGCACAGAGCCCAACGAGGGACTCAAACCCACGAACCGTGAGATCATGACCTGAGCTGACGTCAGACGCTCAACCAACTGAGCCACCCAGACGCACCCAAAAATATGTTTTTAACTGCAAAATGATAGAGGGATGAAGAGATCTCTTCCTCAAATGGTTATCTGCTTGGGGTGCCTGGGTGGCGCAGTCGGTTAAGCCTCCGACTTCAGCCAGGTCACGATCTCGCGGTCCGTGAGTTCGAGCCCCGCGTCTGGCTCTGGGCTGATGGCTCAGAGCCTGGAGCCTGTTTCTGATTCTGTGTCTCCCTCTCTCTCTGCCCCTCCACCGTTCATGCTCTGTCTCTCTCTGTCCCAAAAATAAATAAACGTTGAAAAAAAAAATTTTTTTTTTAAAATGGTTGTCTGCTTGAGGACAAGCAGGTTTCAGGTGTTAGAAATCCATGCACCTTTCACAACACTTGGTCCATAGTTGAAATCATTGAATTCTGTGAAATTAAGTGTAACAAAGATGTAGCAGTACAGCTTCCTTCCTGTTTAAAAGTGTGGGACAAAGAGGGGAAGGAAAATGAAGCCAGTTTTCCTAACTCTTTGGTGAGTGTGCGCGTGACCGATCATGCAAACCTTGACTAACAGAGAATGTCCTTTTCAGATTAATATAGGGATCTGTTGAGTCTCCAGCATCGTGCTTTTTGTATTTCAGTGAAGGCTGCAAATAGGGTCAGGTCATGTCACACCCATGCTAGCTGTGCTCCTGTAGTAGCTAAGCAGGCCCAAACGGGATAACCAGCCTTGCTTGTTCCATAGTTATGTAATTACAGGCCTTATCAAATATGTCCTGGCTTGTAGACGTGAGACACATGACAGCATAGTCTCTCTGAGCATGGGATACATGCCTCAGGACCTTTCCCTGGAAACAAGTGTGAAACAAAAGAGAATTTAACATCTGAATGCAAAAGTTAGAGTTAAGTAAACATTTCTCAAGTGACTCTCTGAAACAACTGGAAGACCTTGCACTAGAGAGGAGTATACTACAGTACAGAAGTGTTTAGGATGCCAAAGAACTACTGGTTTGCTGTGTGTTGATATGAATATTTGACTTATCTTTGAGTAGGGATTATCGGATATTAACTGGAAATGTATGTTTTGCAATAGTTGTTCATGGAGCAGTCAAGCCATTTCAGAAAATTTGAAGAAATGTAGCAATTAGAATAAGCATTCTTTTTATTTTTTAAGTTTATTTATTTATTTTGAGAGAGACCGCACAAGTGGGTGGGGGGGACAGAGCGAGACTGGGAGACAGAGAATCCCAAGCGGGCTCCGCACTGCCAGCGCAGAGCCCAGTGTGGGGCTTGAACCCACAAAACCGTGAGATCGTGACCTGAGCCAAAACCAAGAGTCGGAGGCTTAACCGACTGAGCCACCCAGGAGCCCCTAGAATAAACATTCTTAATGTTACTTAGAGTATTCATACTGTACTATGAACTGTAACTTTCGTATTGCACATTCCACTGGTCTAGATGTTTTGAAAAGAAAACTATGTGGGTGGAGAACGTTGGTAAAAGGGAAGTGACTACTTGAGCACTGGTATTTGCTTAAATTCTTAATTTTTTCTAAAAGGCCCATTGAACTTGTTGAGTCTCCCCACACCCACCCAGACCAACATGTAGATGTCTTAAATAAAAATAGACAATAAACAAAAGCTTAGTAGGATGCTTAAAATATTTGAGGGTATTATTGATGGCTGTTTTCTTATTCCATTATATTGGAGTTTTAAACATAGCTGCCCAAACTGACTCTCTTCCTCTCTAAGCTTCATTGCTGATTAACTGATAGACATTGAGAATACAGTGTGTGAAACTTGTCATTTTAGTCCTGCTAGCTTTGCACAGTTTGGCCTATGCCTTCCTCTTCCAGAAACCTTTGTTTGTTCCAAGAGAAGCAGGAGAATGCCGATTGCCTTATTTTAGTATAGGATTAAAATACATGTGGCAAGGACCTCATGGGGCCCGGCTGTTGGCTGGGTTTTCAATCCAAATAGAGAAGAAGAATGTTTGCTACCTCTTTAAAAAATAAAGGCACTGTGCTCTTTTGCTGTATGAAGGAAGCAGCTGCCAAGAGTTGATGTTTGAAGAACGGGGAGACATAAATGAGCCCTTGACTCTTAGTTATGAAATCACAGATTTGTCTTATTAAAGATTGTTATAATGGACACACATTAAGGTTTCAGAGGCCATAGGACATTGCTAACTTATTTTCCGTAAGTGTGGGTTATCAAGAAGAAAAGAATGTTCTTTTATGCCTGGTACCAGTTGGTTCCGTTCAAAATTTCAGTCAATTTGTTGGAGTAGCTAATTCAAGAAAGATATGAGAAGACCAAGATATCTGAAGCTCAGCTCCTTTAGTGGAGATTGAAATGTGACTCTAGCAATTATCCTTCTTGTTTGTCTAATATCAGCTAAACTTGATCCTTCATTATTTACAGTTCTTTTTAAAAAATGTTTATTCATTTATTTTTGAGAGAGAGACTGTGCACACACATGTGTGCAAGCAGGGGAGGGTCAGAGAGAGAAGGAGAGAGAGAGAATCCCAAGCAGGTTCCCTGCTGTCACTGAAGAGCCTGACTCAGGGCGCAAATTCACAACCGTGAGATCACGACCTGAGCCAAAATCAAGAGTCGGATGCTTAACTGACTGAGCCACCTAGGTGCCCCTTGTTATTTGCAGTTCTTAACCAATCTGAAATATGAGCATTGGAGTTTCATAGGATTTTATTTCTTAATAGATTTTCTTGTTAGGATGTGGATTTTTTTTTGAGGGGGGGAGGGGCAGAGGGAGAGGAAGAGAGAGAGAGAGGGAGGGAGGGAGGGAGAGAGAGAATCCCAAGCAGGCTCCACACCCAGCCGGGAGCCTGACACAGGGCTCCTCTCATGAACCGAACTGGGAGATCATAACCTGTCCCAAAATCAAGAGTCAGATGCTTAACCTACTGAGCCATGCAGGCGCCCCTGCGATGTGGATTTTAAAACATACAGATTAGAAGTTATTTGCAAAGGCAACGAAAGTTAGTGGAAAGTGTAAGATCATTTAAATCTTCATATACTGTAGTGTGTCTGTTAATTTGAAAAGTCTGCAGCTCCATTGTTGCACAATGTCAGAGGTCAAGATGATTTGGATCTGTGCCTTCCACTGGCTGAGATCACTGGGTGTAAGCAACTAAATACACTACTGTGGTACCTCTTAACTCCTGAAGTTTTCTGACTTGGCCTTTCTAGTGCAGAGGTTCCTTAAAGGGCCTGTGGGGTGGGCTGATTTAAGAAAAAAAAAGAGGGTTATTCCCAGAGCTAGTACATATCACAGAGATAATTATAGCAGTAGCATTTCTCTTTTTCTGAACTTGACTAAGTGGTGCCAGAGTTCAGAAGAGATCTTAGAAACAGAAGTGTGCTAAACTGCACTAGACCTACAAATAAGCTGACTGGTCACTGAAACCATGCACTAGCGGATTGAATCTCTGAGTTTCTTTTCACTTTCCTCTTACGTAAGGGGAACATTGAGAATTCTTTTTTTTCCCACCAGTATGCATGAAATGAATGGAAAGGAAAGTTTTGCTTGGCCCCCTTCCTGAGATCCAAGATGGTAAATGCAAGTCTGTAAGGAGTGGGGTCATCGTTTCCAAAGAATAGAGACTAAGTGTACTTTTTAGGGCAAAACAAGGTGGCAGTGCCTCTCCTCTAGACTTTGGCTGTGGTCCTTCTGGTTTTGGAGGTACAGCCCAGCCCCTCTCACAGTCCTTACCCCTTTTCTTTGGAATGGTGTCTGTCGGTGAGGAGTGTATAATCATCTGATTGAAAAGGCTCTTCTCAGAGACCTGGATGCTTTTTAAATGTTACTTCACTGGTTTTCTGTGTAGCACCGAACAGCCTGTCTTGGTGGCTTTCTGATGCACCTTGGTGGCTTTCGGCTTAACGACCTCCATGCTGTTCTCTCCGTAGCTTGGGGACCATCCTACTTCTGAGATCCCCGAGATACATTGATCTTCATGTGTGGTTACTTCATGGCATCGATTAAAATGGTTTTCTGTCATTCTCTTCATGTAAAGATGTGTTTATTAGTTTGTGCTTCAGGTTTCATTTGAAAACAAAAGCAATAATAGGAGGGCTGGAGGAGAGAAACAGGAGGACAGAGTGCATCCATTGGCACTGGCTCTCTCTGCCTAGACCTAGAGGGTGAGGATGCAGATTTAGGTTAATTGTGCAGCTGTACTGAAATTTTACCCATTGAGCACCCATAATCTGAATTCCTGTGTGTTCTTGCTGGAATTATACGGTCTTATTTAATGGTGACATTGTCAATTTGCTCAGTGTTCTCAGAAATGATATTTCTATAGCTTTCCTCTGAGCTTTCTTTTACTTTTTTTTTTTAAGTTTATTTATTTTTCATAATCTCCACACCCCACACTGAGCCCAGACTCACGACCCCCAGATCAAGAGTCACATGCTCTTCCAACTGTCAGCCAGGCGCCCCTTGCTGGACCTTATTTTAAAGAATAATGTGATATTAACCAATCTGAAGACAAGAGGCTGGTTATAGAAAGTTGGTACCTGGCCACAGAGTCGCCGAATGGCTGAAATTATTGATCTTTGAAAGATAAGTGTTACAGTTAAGGTGTCAGAGGGGCTTCAGTATTGAACATCAGTTATGCTTTTATTGTTTTCTTTCTAGGTGCATGCTATTATGATGCTAATCAATCTATGTACGTGTTTGGAGGCTGTACCCAGAGCAGCTGCAATGCTGCTTTTAATGACCTCTGGAGACTTGACCTAAATAGCAAAGAGTGGATCCGACCTTTGGCTTCAGGTAAGAGCTAAAGTGCTGATGTTTGCCTTCTTACCAGGTAACTCCCTTTGCATGGACATTCTATCTGATCTGTGTTGGTGTTGGTCTCTGGTACTAGGGTCCCAGGTCAAATCTGTGTAAATGCTAAAAGTAATGTGTTTGTATAAGGTCTTTGAATTAAAAAAATTATACTTTATTACTAGTATTGGTGCCCTGCCAGAATTGTACTACTGTGTGAATTCATTTGTGTGGTTTTCTCAAGTCCTCGCACTGGTGTGATGTGCCTTTTGGTATGAAGTTGAAGTAAGCAGAAACACAGCATCGTGAGAACGGTAGTTCACTGACAGAAGCTGTTGTTCCAGGGCTGAGATCTCTGAATATCTTTTGTTGTTGCCAGCTCAGACATTTGGGGAGTGTATGGAACATGCCTCTGCTGGTTGCTCTTAACGACTCAGGAATGTGGGAAGATTCTCCAGTAGATACATTCCTGCATAGTCCCACTATGCCGAAATTCTGCCAGAAAGAAACTAGATTATTTTCTTTTAAAAAAAAATTTTTTTTTTATTTTTTTTTTCAACATTTATTTATTTTTGGGACAGAGAGAGACAGAGCATGAACGGGGGAGGGGCAGAAAGAGAGGGAGACACAGAATCGGAAACAGGCTCCAGGCTCCGAGCCATCAGCCCGGAGCCCGACGCGGGGCTCGAACTCCCGGACTGCGAGATCATGACCTGGCTGAAGTCGGACGCTTAACCAACTGCGCCACCCAGGCGCCCCAAAAATTTTTGTTTTAAATATTTATTCATTTTTGAGAGACAGAGCACAAGTGGGGGAGGGGCAGAGAGAGAGGGAGACACAGAATCCAAAGCAGGCTCCGGGCTCTGAGCTGTCAGCACAGAGCCCGACACGGGGCTTGAACTCATGAGCCATCAGATCATGACCTGAGCCGAAGTCAGACACTTAACCAAAGGAGCCACCCAGGAGCCTGATTATTTTCTCCTTTGTGATTTAACCTTTCGGGGATTTGTTTTTGCACTCTTGAGGCAGGACAGTTTGAAAAGGCACAGCCGTAAGACCGAAGGGGCTGGTGTGCTGGAGAAATAAGAGTCCTCTGAGCATAGAGTACTCTATTAGATTTGTTGACAAGCTTTTCCCAGACATTCATGTGGCTTTTCAAGATTGGAATTCCCTCTAGGACTAAGGAGACTCAGGTTTTCTTGGGCAGATTCCTTACTCATTTAGGTCTTGATTTACTAATTTGATAACTGCATGGGAAGTGACTTGGTATAGTAGAAAGAGCCTAGGCTAAGAGTGAAGAGACCTGAGTTTCATCTCCTGCCATAATAGCCAAGTCTGCATTGTCAGTGAACAGATGACTGCATCTCTCTGGGACAAATACGGAGAGTAGTAATCGATTAGATGATTCTGTTTTCAAATGGCTAGTTTATGCTTTTCTTTTTTTCTGGAATGACTGCTATGATTGTCTAAGCCAGGGGCTTAAAACCTTTTTAAGAGAAGAAACTATAATTTGCTTCCCCAAAGCTGTAAGCTCCTGTTCCTTCCCCTGCAATAGAGAAATCTAGGAAGCAGAAGCCTACTGACAACAGGTACTCACAGGTGGGGCTGGGTTTTGTACAGATGAAATTCTTTATTAAAATCATTAGGGGGGCGCCTGGGTGGCTCAGTCGGTTGGGCAGCCGACTTCGGCTCAGGTCACGATCTCACACTCCGTGAGTTCGAGCCCCGCGTCGGGCTCTGTGCTGACAGCTCAGAGCCTGGAGCCTGTTTCAGATTCTGTGTCTCCCTTTCTCTGACCCTCCCCCATTCATGCTCTGTCTCTCTCTGTCTCAAAAATAAATAAACGTTAAAAAAAAAAATTAAAAAAAATCATTAGAAAGAAGACCAAGTGTTAATCTTAAAAATTTTGGAAGTTAGTGCTATTTTAGGGCCCTTAGAATTGTGTGCTTTGGAGAGTTTCCTTTTCTAGCCCCCTGTCCCCTCTTGCACTTAGAGCAATACTGATTAATATTTGGAATCACAGATCTAAAATGTCCAAGATTTCTTCAGCTTCAGCATCCTGTTGCCACTGTACTTGGTGTCCAGGTCCCGTTCCAGAGCAGTTTTGGCTATTCCAGTCACAAAACGCCAATACTGCCCCTTCTCTATTGTGTAACCAAGCTCTTTGCTTCTGGTACTTTGGCCTGGGGGTTGATCTTCCTTCTAGAAGTGGAGCCCTGGACTGTGGTACCTTCATAGCATACTGCTACCTACTGTGCTTATTTCCCTAATTTCCCTCTGTAAGGTAGGCGTGGGACTTTTTTTTTTTTGTTTTTAAACCACTAAGACTCTGTTTTGAGATCCTCAAGGTAGAAGTGTCAGAGAAATAAGTGACTTTAAAAATACAATGGTAGACTGTTTCCTTTTGTAAAACATAGAAGCTCCTGAAGGTTCAATTTTCTAACAAAGTGTCTCAAAGAATCTGCTTGCCACTTCACTGTAATCTACAATTAGAGCCTAGTTTTCAAGGGGGGGGGAGACAGTTTTTTGAAATGTCTCCTTTTTTAAACAAACAAGCACTAGTTTTTAATAAAGAAGCCTGTGAGATTCTCCTTCGGGCAGAAATCCCATGGGAAGATTGCCTGAGGACATGCTTCTGTGTGCTGTCATGAGTCCCAGCCAAAATGACTTCCTCACTGAAACATCAGTGAGTCTTTCTGAACAGCACCCCCGTTGTTGATACGCCTTGGTGTGCCTGGCTCACCCGTTCTGGCGCACGGAGGTGGGCAGGTTGGAAAGTGACTGAGGGGAGGGTGTCAGCTGTGGAGTCCCCTCACTTATATTTGTAAGCAGAGGGTATTTAAAGCCGTAACCTCAACAGGGTTCAGTCTTTTTTTTTTTTTTTTTTTTAACATTTTATTTATTTTTTTTTTTGGGACAGAGAGAGACAGAGCATGAACAGGGGAGGGGCAGAGAGAGAGGGAGACACAGAATCGGAAACAGGCTCCAGGCTCTGAGCCATCAGCCCAGAGCCCGACGCGGGGCTCGAACTCACGGACCGCGAGATCGTGACCTGGCTGAAGTCGGACGCCCAACCGACTGCGCCACCCAGGCGCCCCAACAGGGTTCAGTCTTTGAAAGCGTAGCCGTGTGGAGAAGAGTAGCAGACAAGCAGTGGGGCAGTTTCATTTGGAGTGGAGAGTCTTTCTGGAGGGTGCTTCTGCATCAGGTGCCTTTTTCCTTGTTTATCGGCTGCCCCTAGGCATGAGACAGGAGCCCTGCCACGTGGGGTGGTGTCCTAGCCAGCTCAGGCTGCCACAGCAAAATACCGCAGACTAGGGGCTTCAGCAACAGAACTTGATTTCTCACAGTTCTGAAGGCTAGGAGACTGAGATCAGGGTGCCGGTGAGGGTTGTCTTCTGGTCTTGGAGACAGCTGCCCTCTTGCTCTCTCCTCATCTGGCAGAGACAGAGTTCTGGTGTCTCGTCCTCTTCTTATAAGAGCACCAATCCCATTATAAAAGGCCTCAACTTTGTGACTTCATCTAAATCTCATTAATCTCCCAAAGGTCCTATTCCCGAAGGCCATCACATTGGGGTTGGGGCTTCAACATACGAATTTTGAGAGGACACAGTTCAGTCCATAACCATGGGAATTAATGCGGCTTGCCTCTGAATCCCGGTTGTTAGTTCCTTTTGCAGTGATAGAAGCACTCCATCTAGAGGGAGTGTGGTGGTGACAAATGTTAGAATGAGAACTCTTCCGGCTGAGCCAGACCTACCTATAGCTAGTACTTCTCAGATGTTTCCAGTGAGGTGCCCCCTGCTTCCTTTTACAGCTGTCTTGTAGCCCCTCCCCTCATGAAGTGTATATCGTATCCTGTAATGGGGGAGAAACAAAAACAAGCAAGCAAATTATTACAAAGTATGGAGAAAACAAGGAATGAGCCAGAATAAGAGGGGGAGAGCTACTTTATATTTTTTTTTTCAACATTTATTTATTTTTGGGACAGAGAGAGACAGAGCATGAACGGTGGAGGGGCAGAGAGAGAGGGAGACACAGAATCGGAAACAGGCTCCAGGCTCTGAGCCATCAGCCCAGAGCCCGACGCAGGGCTCGAACTCTCCGACCGCGAGATCGTGACCTGGCTGAAGTCTGACGCTTAACCGACTGTGCCACCCAGGCGCCCCTAGAGCTACTTTAAACAGAAGGCAACTTTTTTTTTTTTTTTTTGCTGAGATTTGAAGGATGAAGAGTGGAAAAAGCGAGGCCAGCATATGCAGAGGCCCTGGGGCAGCAAAGAATAGCACACGTAAGAGGACCCGAAAGTGGACCTTGGTGGACAGACATAGTATGCTGAGCAAGGAGCAGAGTGGCCCAGGTGGAGCTGAGATGCAAACAGGAGCTGACTCGTTCACGCTCCAGCATCTGAGAGATTTTGAGATTTTAAGCAGAGGAATATGATCCAATTTACATTTTAAAGAACAACTTTTGCTGCTACTCAGGAAATGGATTGAAGAAGGCAAGAAGACAAAGCCGAGAGAACAGCTAGGAGGCCCTCACGTGGTACGGGTGAGGGGATGTAATGACTTGGACTAGAGTCCTAGGAGTAGAGGTAAAGGGAAACGGAAGAATTTGAGCTGAAATTCTGATAAAATCAGCAGGACTTCTTGATGGATTGGCTGTGGGAGGGTCAGAGGGCCGGTCAAGGCTGATTTATGCTTCAGTTTGACAGCTGGGTAGATAGAGGGCCCGTTCCCTAAAATGGACAATAAATATTTGGAAGAAGTTTAATTTTTTTATTTCTTTACACATTTCAGTGGTGGTATCATGTAATTAGTTGTTATGAGAGTTTGATGTTTAAAGTAGAGTGCTTGACGTCCCGTAAACGACAGCACAGTCCTTCCTTTTGTTCCGTTAATTCTACTCTCATCCTTCATTTGTTCTTGCAGCAAATACTTATGGATTTCCTACTCTGTGCCTGGCATTGTTTTAGATGCTGGGGACACATGAGTGAATAAAAC